CTATACAATACATCTTAAAAATATAGTCAAAAGGTACAACACAATAAACACTTTATCTTCCGCTATCCAAAAAGCCTCCTCCATCAGAACTGGAGCCGCTTCCAGTAGTTTCATTGTATGGCAAATTGTTGTACGCCAACGAGGGTCAGAGCGCGTCCATTGTAGCAATGGACGCAAAACGTGGTCAGCACTCACACACTCATCACGAAACGGTTGCTTTCCAAAGTCGACGACGCATCGACCGAAAGAACTGCTGATGAAGAACAATGAGGAGTACCACACAATGGTTGCTGCCGAGAAAACAGACGATCGCGTAGCACGCATCGAGAGTGGCCTGCTTTTGTCTACACTGTATAATTCAAAGTACCTTTTCTCAAAAAACCCAAGATGAACTATTTTAAAACCTTCACAGATTTGATTGTTAGGATCAATATTACCTTCCTGGGAAGATAAAACTGAGGTACATGACAGTTGCAAAAAAAGTGCCTTCAGACATAGCGTGCGTCAAACGCAAGGGAATTTACTATGCGCGCCACAGGTGGCAGTACTACCAACTGAGATACTTTCAAATTGACCGTTAAATGCTTGATCGATGAACAACTTATGAGTGTTATGTCTATTTGTCTGTGGATGAACCATTCTGACGGCCATATACCCAAGTAACCATATAGTCGCAATATAGCTTGTATATTAGAGTGATGCAAAATTTGAAATTTTCGCTCCACAATACTCAAACGAATCCAAATCGGATCCTGACTAACCTCTCAAAATTTGAACCCATTTGGTGAGAAACTGAGATCGCACAAACCATTTGAAGTTTGTATGGGAATTACTATGGTAAAACCAAGATTTTTGTTTATGCATATCTAATAATTCACCATATCGGTCTGCTTTCAACTGTTCTTGTAGGAAATTTTCCCAGCTACAACTTTGCTAAAAATCACTTTTTGATTAAATGCAAGGATCGAACGTTATCAAAGGTTCAATGCGCTGATGTCTTATGATCATGCTCAATCAACTGCTCAGCAGGCAACATTGGTGTTTCTGGGGCGTTGAATAGGACACAAAAATCATGGCTACTATGTCACACTGCAAAATACAGTGTTGCCTACAGAGCAGCTGCTTGACAATGTCATAAGTTTACCAATCTCTTAAATAATTAATAACTTTTTCTTGTCTCGTTTTACATAAAAACTATCTTCAGCAAAATTATAGCTGAGAAAATTTTCTATCAGCATGGCTATCGGACTGTTTTGCAGCTCAATATGGAAAAAAGACTAGAAGGCAATGAACAAAAAGTTGAGATTTCCCATAGTAATTTGCATGTAAACTTCAAATGGCTTGTGCGAAGTCTGTTTCCAACCAAATGAGTTGTAACTTTGAGAGGCTAATCAGGACCCGATTTGAAACCATTTAAGCACTGTGGAGCGAAAAAGTCAAATTTTGCATCAGTCTTACTTTGCTTGAGTTAGTTGAGGAATCTGATGAAACTGTCACGTCTTGAAACTGATCCCTTTCGTATTTCTTTCATTCTCTTTTCGCACACGGAGCGCTCGGTGGACCAGCGACTTTGGACGTGAGCCTCGTCTTAGATCACCAGTGACAGATGGTGGACATGAAACCGACCACACCAACCAGCGAGGAATGAGTCAACATCGAACCAGGAACGGAAATTTATTTACTTATTTGGAAGGAAAAGCCCACACTAGTGGGCGCAAAACCTCATCATTTCAGTACCAACAAATAACAGGGAATCCTACAGATCTTCGCTGAATGGCCTCAATACGATTCACCCAGTTGCTGTAAAAAGGAGCCCATACTACGGAACAGTACTCCAATGTGGAGCGGACTAGCGAACAATAGAGTGTTTTTAAACAGAAAATGTCCCTAAGGTGATCAGAGATGTTATGCCTCAGAACATCCCGGCGGCGCCGACAGGGATTGAACCCAGGCCTGCTGGAGTGAGAGGTGATCACGCTTACCACACACCACTGGCGCCACTTGGAAAACGTTATAATGACACATTTAGAAGCATTTAATACCATCCTGTTCTTGTCACACCAAACAGCAAAAACGTCCAGCTGCTGCTGAAGAAACAATGCATCACTTCGATCCTTGATGACAAAGTAATCGTCAACATAAGACAGCGCCAGGCAACGGATCGAAAAGTGAACGTCATTCAGATACAATAAAAACACAGAGGCTCGAACAAGATTTCACTTAAAAACCTTCTTTGACAACCTGATGGCGCTGGCGTGGCACAATTTACACTAGACACTAAGTGCTGGTAGCGCCAAGTGGCAATTTTCAACAGAAAATTTATCGAAACTAGCGCCAAATTTGTCGAAAGTGGAAAATTTACAGAGTAAATTAGAAGATGCTAGTGCCACGTAATGGTGACGTTCTCACTTATCTTTACACAAGTTTCTGACCGAAGTTGGACTTCTGTTCTCTGTGATAAAAATATGAACGGTCCCAGATGACTGCCTTGAGGTACACCAGAAGAAACAGCGAACGGTTGAGAAAAATGATCTCCAATCTTCACTGACATCTGTCGACCGGTGAGGTATGAGCGAAGCCAATCAAGACGGGAATCGTGAAAGCCAAGTCGCTCTTGTTTGGCCACTGCAATTTCGTGATTGATTTTATCAAAAGCAGCAGAAAGATCGGCGTAGATAGCATCCACTTGATGACCTCTTTCCATCTCGCGTATGATTGATGATGTGTATTGAACGAGATTTGTAGCGGTCGACCTCTTCGGCATAAATCCGTGTTGTTCAGTCGTGATGTGACTAGAGCATGAGTGTTTTAAATAATCTAGCACCAATAGTTCAAAAAGTTTTGAGACTGCACATAAAGCACCGATACCACGGTAGTTTGACACCGATTGCTTATTGCCTTTTTTGAAGACAGGGAAAACAAAAGAATCCTTCCAGCACTCCAATACAGTTCTTAATAACCGCGGAAGGAATTCCGTCAGGGCCAGTGCTGAAAGAATTTTTCAAACGAAGGCCTGCTCTATAAATTTTCTTTGACGAAGACACTGCTGAATTGTGACATGAACAGGTCAGCGATTCCCTTTCGTATCTGGCTCTTCTCGATCCATATTGTACATGGTAGAAGGTAAGCCTGATTCCTTCCGCTGATCGTTCACATGATTCCAGAAGCTCTTGGGATTTACTTTGAGTTTAGTTTGTAGATGGCGCTGATGGACTTGATAAAGCTGTTTGTTGAGCCGCTTATACTGTTTGTTAACGAGGTTGTACTTCTTCTTCGATGCATCTGTTCGAAGTTTACAAAATTTCTTCAAGGCAGCTCGTTTGGATGTCGCTTGAGTCGGTGGTTGGTCCAAGGAGGCTTACTAGACATGGGTGGAGTTGTCATGGGTACAAACTGGTCGTTCGCATACACGACAATATTCGAGAAAATAGAAGAGGCAGCATTCGCGCCACAATCTCGGAGTTCATCGTCCCAGCTGATGTTTTCGAAAAAGGTTACCATTACCTACGGTAGTCATACGATACGCTGTCCACGGTAACCCGAAAAGTGCCGGCCTGATAGAAGTGTAATGATAACTGCAGAGGTGAATGGTGTCTACAACGTTTAACTAGTTTCCAAGACTACTCCAAACATCGGGCTTCAGAAAGCTTCCCGATTGCTTCGTTCTTTAACAGCAACTTATGACACTCTTCTCGTTCGCGACAGGGCAAATTAGATTCAACTGCTGTCAGTTAATGAATTTACACGAAAATTGCTCATCTACTCTATATAGTGACTCTGGCATAGGCCCTGTCAGGATCCTCCGCATCCAATTTTACGAAAAATCCTTGATAGCATGTCACGCGGGAACCAAACAGCATGGAGGAAGGAAGTTGAAGTTGACGCTAAATCGATTATTTAAAAGCTCCATCAAGTTGACTTCCCATCACCCCGCGCATTTGGTTCTCCAATCCATCCCCGTGTATGAAGGAGGAAGGGGAAAATGCGATGATGGAGAGCAGAATCTATTCACGTCACATTTCATAAATAGTGGGTTCGTATCGTAAAGCCTCATCGTGTATGCGTTAACAGGAATATGCAACTGCTAAGCAAAACAATAAGTACCGAGTAGATATGGGGCAACTACTAGGAGCAAAAGTTGGTCGTCCCTCTTCGAGCATACATATATGAAGGTGATACGTGGGAAAAAAGTTGTTTGGGGTGGTTGAAGCTCATATGTATTTCCCAATTGGGAACATGCTCACTCATTCATTGTGCTTCGTCATGATCATCGTAGTAATCGATGAGCTGCTTGTTACAGAGTTTTAGAAAAACACAGTAGGGATGTTTTTGAGGATTCATTTTAAAAGCCCGTTCTTGATTACATTTCCTCCGTCCAGGTTTGCTTGACGTATATGTAAACATCCATGGCACCGCAGACGACGATGAAAAAAAAAAGCAAGCTGAAAACCACTTCATTTCCCAACGGTTACTACGAACGATGCTGATGATGAACAACATGCACGCTATGACGTAGGACTTTACAGAACTGCTCTGCGAACGACATTCTCATTCTGGCAGACGGACGGATGAAAAAGCCCGAGTTGTGTGGTAGTCGGAGAAAGGTATGTATATTTTTATCTATTTTCCCACCCGCTGCCTACCCTTTCCCAACAAAATCGAGTGCCACGGTGCGGCAGCATACCTCAGTGGCGGCGGCAGTTGGCTCTTGCGTCATCAAATATGCTTAATGCATGGGGCCGCCGCTACTGAGTGAGTGAGCGGCGCAAGTGTTTGGCCTAAAAAGTGTATGTGTGTGTGTGTCCGCTTTTCCTTTGCTTCGAAAATTCCAGACATTCGAGATTCGAAACTCTTCGGTTTGATCCATTTAGAATTGATTATTTTCATGGTGTGGGGGAACATGTGCCTGATAGCGAAGCTATTTTTGGTGTAATTAGATTCACTCGTTTCAGAGCGACATTCGCCGTGGAGACGCGTGGTGTTCTGTAGAATGGACTTACCTAGCAACGCTTGGAAGAGCCTCGATTTGAATATCCGAATGACTCGCTCGATGGCACTGCGGAGGGCTCTATCCTGGGGGCTGGACAGTCGCGAGTGGTAGTCCTCGAGCAGTTCAAGGGCCCGGTGTGCTTCTGTGGATGAGTGCAAAAGAAAAGATAGGTCAATGTCGGCGTCTTTCGGTCATCAATCAAGGTACGCTGCTGAACAACACAGAACCAAACAAGAGTTGTCATGAGCACGGATTGTTTTTTTTTTTCAATTCAGATGAGAAATCCCATTTCTTGTCAACGGCCAGCTGTGCTGATGTCGGTTTGCGGTGGGAAGCGTGATTATTTTTAGGAACAGTGGTAGAAAAATTTTCCCTCCCGATTCTCGTTTTCGCTTTTATTTTTGTTTTCAAGCACACGCTCGCAGTCCCGTCGCATTACACAATCGTTGTGTCGTGTAGGGATTTTGTAAATGCTCATGGGCCCTTCGCCGGGAATGCAGTCATCGAACCAGGCCTACCTACGAGGTACTTTACTAGGTCGATTGAGGTTGACACCGTTTTCCGATCCTGGCAAACCTTGGGATGAGCAGTTTCGGGTCCGTGAAATTTGACACCGGACCAAAAGTCGTTATCGGAAAATCAAGTTCAGGCGAGGGAGATATTTTTAACGAAAACTGAAAACACGGTTGCTTTGATGATTTCGGATTTTGTGCGGCATTAGTCACCGTCCGCCCGCGCATCAGATGATACTGCATACATGTGTAGTACGTAAATATAATCGTACAAAATGGATGACGGCGGAGAAGAGCAATACAATAAACTACATCTGCTCATTTTTACTACACTGTTGCTGCTGGTCACATCAACATAGTAGCTGGGTGTTTTTATTCGGTTGAAATTTCAAACAAAAACAAATTATGATGACTTGATTGACAGTTTGCCTTTGCCGCGGAGAAATGTTTGGTTTCGGAAGAACGATTACTGTTGGGTCATAATATGTTGATTTTTTTATTTGGACGAAGGAGGTGAATGAATCATGTTGTCTAAAATAGAGCTAGGGTGCTTTAGTTTGTAAAAGTATTTGCAATATTTGTTTAAATATTAGAAGTTTATTCGTGAGGCAAAGTTTGGATTTCCCAAGGGGTTGGTCACTCCGCACAGTGTGCCAAAACTACAGATGGGCACACCTGGGCACTTTCATTGGCACCCATGATTAGAAATTTTCATGATATTTAAAGTTACTGGCTACACTGTACTATATCTGCACCTGCTCTGTGCATGTGTAAAAATGTTAATCATTGTTGTTGACACAATCCAATTTTTGGTTCCGGCGAAGTTCTGCCATGGATTCCTCACAGCGCACATATTTTCAAAACATTAACTAAAAACCGGTCAAAAGTCAACGCGGTTTTCTTGCGGGATGAGCGATGTCATCAAGGCGATGACCGTTGCCAAGAGCAACTGTAATCTGGGGGTGATACTGGAATTCGTCCTTCTGGTGCTGGAGTCGCTATCGGAAGGCTTCGAGATCGGAGAACCTCCACTCAAGACGATTGAACTGCTCAAGGTGCGGAAGGCTTTGGTGTTTCAGAACAGTTTGACCGAAGTTGGGAAGGCGGTGGCATCGTTCCGGAAGCTGATTGAAAAGATGACCATGAAGGGTCTACTGCTGGTCATAATGCCGATTTGGGTTGTGATTAGTGAGTTGGTTAGTGGGAAGAGCAAGACCCTGTAAGTCGACATCGGTGAGTAGGTTGAAGGATAGGTTTAGCTCTCTGACACGATCCTGCTAACGCAGCGCTTGACGTAGATAAGTTATAGGCTTGGCGGAGAAGAAGTCCCGGTGAAGTGTAAGTGACTGGTGTTTTCCATGGTGCCCAGCGATTGGAGTAGTTCGGTAAGCATTTCAACATCGCGATGCAATAATCCTGGTAGAACTGATACGAACGCAGCTCTTCGAACTCTATGAGGTACGAATTTATTATGAGATCCGAGTCCCACAGAAGCTTGCAAGCTTTATCCGTGGTCGTTTACCATGTTTGATTCCGTAACGCTTCACCACTTCGTTGATCAGGCAACCGACATTCAGTTCCGTGCTTCGTTCTGACCAGGGGTTGAAACTGTTGACGTTTGTATTCGTACTCTCGTGCTCTACCGTCGTCTCTCTTACACAACACAAACGTTAGAACAACATTCGAGTAAAAAGAAAATTATCAAATAACTATCATATGACATGTGTGATTTCGTTCTAATTCCTCAATTTGGTCTAAATTAAACAATTTCTGATCAGAGAAATGCTATTACTAGGACATCGTTGCTTGCTATTTTCAGAATTCACACAAGCTCAACATCAGCAGCTCTTATTATGAGAAAAACTAAAATACATACATTCGTGACGGTTTTCGGCGAAAATGTCGTATGACAGAGCCTGCCATATGACATTTTAGTTTGCTACTGTTATTTGATATCATGTTTTGCAAGTGTCGGAAGCAAAGGCAGTCGATTATCACAGAAAATGTGTCGACTACGGTGACCGCTTACAAGACTGGTTCTGATATCGATGATCTCTCGGACCATGTCTGGAGGTAGAATCTTCACCGGTGTTTGCTTTCCTACCATCAACAGCCCACCAGCTTTTACAGGTGTTCTCTGACCGGCACTGTTTTTCGCCAGAGACATCATACTTCTCTCCATTTTTCCGATCGTTGGACCAACAATCAATACGAAACTAACGATTTTAAATCGGCTCACCACTTTAGTAGCCTATTGGTCCCAAGCAAACGATTAACGTACCCTATTCTAGTTGAAATTCTATTACTACACTATGTTTGTTTTGATTCGCTATGAAAGTTTGACAGATAACATCAGGGGTGTGTGGATTCATGCAGAACATGCAGGGGTGAGTGAAATAGCTTGGGACTGCTTGGGACCGTTGTTCTGGTACTGAGTGAGCCAAAAATAATAATGATTTTCTTCGGGACCCAGTGGTCTTAGAGTTACCTCTATGGTTGGACTGTCTGACCGTATGGACAATTGGACATATTGAAACTCCCACTATAACGCTGCCGACGCATCTTTGACAGAGTGGATGGCTTTCGGGAGAAACTCCTCCCGGAAGCGTTCATCAGACTCTGAATAGCATCTGGACCAGTTTCCGCTGATGATGCACGGTCGTTTCGTCTACTTCAGAGTCCTCATCATACTCCAATCCAGTAGAAGTTATTGTCCTGTCAAAAATTAGAAGTGCCTCCCCCGGAGAACGTTCTCGTTCGAAGCTTCGATTCGGTGGCCGAGGGCGTTGCTTATTAGGTTCAGTGTATTGTCACGCTTATGTTAAATTCTCATTTGGTTACGGTCGAAGCGCGCCGCTCATAAACGCGATGCAACTCCGCCCATAAGGATTATACACAGGTGCATAACTTTGATAGTATTTTATGGCAGCGGCTTAAGGAACGAATCTTGGATAAAGAGCCGCCGTGTGTTAAATCAATGGGCGCAGTCGTACGGCCATAAACAGAAAACAGATGGTATAATCCTTTTTGAGACACTATCCTGCAACACACAATACCGTATGCGTGATAATGTTTGCACCATCGTACAAATAAGGTTCCCGTTTCACCTGTGCATACAATGCCTTGGTTTTCTTTGCATGCACGTAAGCTATAGCTCATACCGTAGTAGGCTGTGTATTAAAGAAAATGATTTACTTAGTTTGACAGTTGCACCATGACGAAGTGGCAGCGTATTCGTGAATTGTCCCACGCGCAAATGTCGCAAAAAGACATTTCAATCGCCGTGGGAGTGTCCCGGTGGACCGTCAAAAGGGTTTTAGACGGAGAAAAGAAAGGACAACTATCCGCGAAGGTGGCCACAGGTCGTCCGACGTCAGCTCGGGTTCCGAGGGTTATCGCTGATATCAAAAGGAAGATTCGGGTGAATCCAGTGCGTTCAATAAGGAAAATGGCAAAGGAACACGGGATCAGTGACTTTACGGCACGGAAGATCGTAGAGGAAGATTGGGGGCGAAGTCGAGGGCACGGAAAAAACTCACATGATTACCAACCGCATCCGGGAGCTACGAGTCGAATGATGCAAGAAAATCTTGAACTTCCTTAGTGAAAAAAAATTAAAGGGTTGTGTCCTAGACACGACCGCAGTATGACGTAGAACCACATAAAATTGATGTTTTTCATGCATTTTTGACTAGTATACTTTATCTTAAAATTTTCAAGTATTTCAATGTTTCGGTTATGGTGACTCAAAACAATTTACACATTTGATGGTGGGGGGGTAGGAGAGGTTGATGGTGGGGGGGGGAGAGGTTGTTGAGGGGGAGGGGGGGTGAGAGATTGTTGAGGAAGGGGCGAGAGGTTGTTGAGGGGGGGGGGGCGAGGGATTGTTATGAAGGGAGGAGGGGGTACATGTATTGCTTTTCCTCATTGTGGTCACGTCGTGATCCACCTTGAGCCGCTGATTTAGACCTGCTTACTGCTGCTAGGACCAAGTGCCACGCCGTCCGAAGCGACAATGAGCAAAAGCATGACGGCAGCGCTGTTTTATATCTTTTCAGGTTCAGAACCTGATAGGATTTCCCGCAGTTTTTTTTATGAATGGGGCGGAGCAGAAAGTTTCTTTTGCGCAGAATATGTTATTATAATTGCATATATAGAGGCACCAGATATGTTTTACCGTCAAATCTATAGTTTGTTACAAACGTTCGCAGATATACTGCACGTCGCGTCGTCAGTAGTGTCGGTCGCATCGCGTGATGGGAAGACAGCGCTCTCGGAGCCGACTTCGTGACCAAGCGGAGAATAAGAACAGTGGTGAGGGTAGCTCGGTACCTACCTCAAATAGGTACGCTACTCTGCCCACCGATGTTGGAAATACCAACCCAGTCCCGGTGAAGCGGACAAAAAAGGGGAAGAAGAACCAAGGACAGTCCGATGGTACGAGCGGACGCGACGATGTTACCACGACGAACGCCAGTGACATCGGTGATTTCGGCGACGCCGTCGAAACCGAGAATTCTGCCGGCCCGAGTGCGGTGAAAGTCAAGCTTCCTCCACTGGTGGTGAAGGTAGTGCCACTCAAGACGCTCATTGGCGATTTCGCATCGCTAGGCATCGCAGCTGAGTTCAA